CTCTCTCTCTCTCTCTCGTCATCGTCATATCCGTTATAGTCGTCGTCGTCGTCGTCGTCATGTCCGTTATAGTTGTCGTCGTGGTCATGTCCGTTATAGTCGTTGTCGTCGTCATGTCCGCTATAGTCGTTGTCATCGTCATGTCCGTTATAGTCACAATCCTCCTCTCTCTCTCTCTCTCTCTCTCTCTCTCTCTCTCTCTCTCTCTCTCTCTCTCTCTCTCTCTCTCTCTCATGCGCGTGCGTGTGGCCACATTTGCATCTGACAGCACCTTAGTCCATACTCACACCGGGATTTCTTTTCAATGTATCTGTCGGTCGCGGTGTATCTTCCTATGTCCTTGCGGAAGATTCCTTATCATTTTGCACATTGGCAGGCTGCTCAGTTGATGCACACACGAAAAAAAAAATAAAAAAAATGTGGCAGTGTATACTTCCATGTTCTGGCTGAAGATACATTTCGATTTTGCTCATCCTACACACACACCAGCAGTCATGCTTTTTTTGAGTGTATAGCAAATATGACAACACACCGAGGTAATGTATGTAAGTACGTTTTTTTTTTGTTTTTTTTTTTTTCCCGGAAAATACGATATATCCAGATGGGCATCTGGAAAGGGGATCCGGACCGGTCCGGATCCTGCGGAAAATTCCGGTGTTCCGGAAGTCCAGTAGGGCCCGGAAGTTCCGGGTTCCAGGGCCCGGATTCGGTCCGGGGTCCGTTCCGGCGTAACTATGATACTAAGTCATCGCTGCTGAAATGGAAGGGGCTTGGGAGGGTTGTAGAAGTGAACTCAGTCCGTGTGGAATAGCGCACTCCTCACATCTATGTGGCAGTAGACAAAGCCTTTGTCTGCAGCAGCGAGCTCAGGGAGGCTGCTATGGCAGACCAACCATGGGCATGTACCCATGCGGAGACTCAAGGGCGCAAAGGATGACTTCATACACATGGCGTGTATCTGTTGGCGATCCCGTGAGCAAAACCCAAGAAAGCAGAATTGAAATCGACTTTTGCACTGGGCTACCAACCAGGCTGCCTGGGTCACCTTGGTTGCTGGGTGGCCTGGCTGGGTAAGGGCCAGGAAAAGTCCCTGCATTAAAAATAAATAAATAAACAAATCAAATAAAATTAACATTTTTTAATATTTTTATTGTTTTATTTATATTTTTGGCCGGGCCAAGCAAGTGGTCCCAAGCCACTCTGGTAGCCTAGTTTTTGCAAAGAAAAGAATCAATCGATGCACAACCTTTATTACACAACCTATCTCACACACACACACACACACACACACATTGAATTCCATACGTTCACATGGTCTCAAGCCACTCTGGTAGCCTAGTTTTGCAAAGAAAAGAATCAATCAATGCACAACGTTAATTATACAACCTATCACACACACACACATACTTCTGCAATCCCATACATTCACAGATGAAACCATTTAGAAAGCATTCAGATCATGGTTGCCCCGGACCCGGACATCCAGACACCGGACACCGGGTCCGGACCCATGTCTGGATTAATCCGGACGTCCGGTGTTCCGGACACTGATCTGGACAACCGGACGCACGGAACTGGACGGTCCGGTTATGAATGAGCAGGTCCGGATGTCCGGATTAAAAAAAAAAAAAACAGACACACACTGCTGTAGTTGTATTATCCGACTTATTTTGACCACACTCACATACACACACAGTGTCATGCACACACACACACACACACACACACACACACACAGACCACTTTTCCCAGGGGTGTTGCTAATTCTAGGTGATGTCGTGAGTCCTTATCCATCAGTCAAATGAATCCTGGGCAGACTGTCCGGGTTCAACCTCCTGATGAGTCGGTGAAAGGCCGATGAAACAGTCTGGCACAGTCATGCTTTTTTTGAGTGTATAGCGAATATGACAACACACACACACACACACACACACACACACACACACACACACAC